TCGTCTGGCTGAATTACGTGTTTCCTCCTCGCTGACGTTGGTGAATACCTAGGCTTGTTCCTTTTGCCTCTTCAAGTGGTAATTCAATATTGTTCGCAAACAACAATTCTCACAAGACAGACAGTCAAGACATAACAGTCACTCGCATCAAGTAGGTACGGAATACCAGAAAAAAAAGTATCTCCATTAATCCACTAATCCAATCCTCGTAACTCCAGTGTTCCAAAAAAGCCACTCACTCACTACTCATACACACAGCACCAGGCCGAGCGCATTCATCCCCACCACTGACCCCCTCCTCATCATCCCTCTCCAAAAACCATCCATTCCTTAACAAGCTCGTCTGGCGTACCCGGTACCGCGATAGATACGGGTGGCAGCAAAGTGCAGATTCCCCCGGCGACTCCACCGCAACAACATACTTAAACCCAAACCCAGTCATCCGCTGGTCCTCCTCGCGAATCTTCCGCTTACGCTCATCGCGCGCCATTCGCGCGATGCGTGCTTCTGCTAGTTCGGGGGGTTCGAAAAGGGATAGGGGGGCTGGGACGTCCAAACTTGAGGTATCATCGTCGAATATAGGCGAGACGGAGCGGCGTAAGTCAAGCCAGTCGCCGGAACTGTAGGGAGAGTTGTAGGATGAGGAGGTCATAGTGGGGGTATCTAGTGGCATCTCCCCTTCGATGTTCAAGAGGTCTTCCATATTGACGTCTCCGATGTCCTCGTCGTCCGAATCGGAGCTGACTGCTGACTTGTATAGCGATTCATCGAGCGCTATTCCCTCATCGCCGTCCTCTGTATCCATACTTTCTCTCCACTCTGTTGGTGCGCCTTCTGTAGGTAGTGGAGTTCTCGTTTTAGTATCTCCTGCTCACTCGTCAGTTACAGATCAGATTTCCCAGGTTGCTGTTCATCACATACCACCCCTCTCTCCCGTTATCTCCCCATCTCCGTCCCTTTCTCCTTCTACTTTGCGTCTGATTTTCTTGGTCATGTTTAACAAATAAATGATGCCTGCGTTGTTGGGCTGTAGACTGCGCGGGGTGAAATGGAAGCGAAGACGACAGTACCGCTTCAAGAAATTGAATCACAGCCTGACCTCCGCTCGCAGCTTAGACGAACGTAAATTCACTCTTGGTTCTTTTAGAACAGGAGTAACAACCTATATAGCGGGTCTTGACTGAAATCTAAATTCAAATTCTTCAAATTATAAACTTGTTAGTCAACGCGATTATTCGTTCAGACTTTCAAAGTTATACATGAAAACGACTCATATTTTCACGAGAGTAGCAGGAGTATGTTTGCCATAGGTATTACTCTGATACTTAATCAGGTATGGCGAGCCAGTAGATTGTATAGCGTTCTAACAGTAGCACATGGATTGCAAATAGGTAAACGAGGCCTCGATCGGACTCATAGAAAACTTAAAAGAGCATTTAATACTTCTGCGTTCTGAGACGTAGGAAATCTGACTCTTATTAAACACTGTGACTTTGACTATTACTATTATTATTACTCAAACTTTTATATAACCAGCAATAACCAACAAACAAGTTCCAAGTACGATGTACAGCTTCTATCACAAACACAGCCCCCCACCCCATACTCATATCTCCAATTCCTACCTCCACCTCCACCCTCACTTTTACAAACACTACCACCAATATCATATCCCCTAACCTAATTAATCAAGTGTCATGCGAACACTCGCCGGACTGAGCGTCGCAATATTTGGTCCCGGTCGGGCAGCAGTGCCATCGACAACCGGGGGCCACGGTCCATCCAATTGTCCCGTAATGTGCTTGAAGTTGCCCTTTGCTACAGTCCAGAGATTTCTAAACTGCTATTCCCCCCTCAAAGTTAGCACTTATTTCAAACCTCAAGTAACTTATCCCAAGAGCAAGAGGGGGAAGGAAGGGTTTCATTTTATTCATACCTGGCGTTCCTCACGTGTCTGTGGAGCCAGGATTGCACCCCTAGGACGGGCGCACGGATCTTGCAAAAAGCACAAGAGACTGTATGAGCGATCTTGTTTCGGGGCCGCCATGTTGCCATTGCAACTGAGAGCCTGTTCTTAGTTAGCAAGTCTGCTTATACTTTGGGAAGGGGAGGGGATGTTTACTTGAGCGTCCTCCCGCTTCTGGATGTTGGTCCGCATCTTGAAAGGGGCAGCGGTGGCTCTTAGGGTGAAAGGGGTAGCGGGGTCCCTCAGGGTGAAAAGGGGAGCCGTTGCCCTGATGGTGAAAGGGGTAGATCTTTCCACGGCGTGGACTACCCTGACACTTGGCACCGATGATGGCCCGGTGGTGTAGTTGGACATGGAGGAAGTATCATCATTGGCGATGGAAGTCTCTGCTTCGGTAAGTCCAGCTTGGACAGCCTCATCGGCTTTGGAATCCGGATCAGTGTTCATCACCCTGAGGACCCCGGTTGGGGTTGGGGTCGGGGTCGGGGTTGCCTGGATGGCAGCTGCTTCTTCCTCGACCATGTCTGCCCATGAGGCGGTAGAGGTAGGCATGTTCTTGGACGAGGTGGAAACCATACTGGCGAGAAGTAACCTCAAATGTGGGGTACTGAACTTGAGATTGTAGTGAAGAGTGAGTGTAATGGCGTCTGTTGCGTGTGATCAAATATCCTGTTATAGTATGTGAGAAGTTGATTTCGTTCACAAAAGATACAGAAAGAAGATGAGAGTAATGATGGAGAAGAATGTGAAGGAATATACTCAAGGGGGATATCGGGGGATATTTGTATGGTATCATCGATTGTTTTCTAAGTGCGGGCGCTTGAATAGCTTGGAGGATTTCTATCTCGACTGACTAGACCCGTAGCTCTTTCCTCCTACCCTACCCCTAAACAAAGTATGATGTATTAATGCTGATAAGTATTACCTAGGTAGGACCTAGAGAGCGCCTTAAAAGTGTCGATTATAGTGCATAATGTATTAATCGTCGCTTCCGTGTGAAGTTTCGAAGATTTCTTCCAATGGCGGAACAACATCCCACTCCAAATTCTTCTCGTTATCCTCTTTTCCTAGATTCTTCTCATCATTCTCAAAGACCCAGTTCCATCTCAATCGACTGGTACAGTAGCACCTATACCTCCCAAGTTTCTTGTGTTTGCGGAAAAACGTATCTTCGTACCATGTGGCAGGTCTATGCCGTACCTGAAGACCCTTAATTTCCTCACTAGTGCCCGTACCTTCACAACTCCCCCATCCACTGCCATCCGACCCCTCCTCCCAGGCATCGATTCCCCACGCATCATCAGAAATTACGGTCTTTGTCACAACAGTTTGTCTGTTAAAATACAGAGGCTTCGGTGTCTTTCGAAGTGTTTTCTGGGCCGAAAGCTTGGAGAGAGCCGCATCGAGAGCCGCAGAGACGGAGGTTTCTAGGCTGGAAGTGTTTTCGGGAACTATAGCTAGCTGCCGCATGTCAGTCCAGGTTGAAATATGGGGATCTTGTGACTATGGTACTTACACATTTCGGAACGTTGATAGGAACCATGACTCTGAATCTCTTTGGTGGTGCTTGGTTGGACTTGCGTTGCTCCTTTCTGTCCTGCCGAGCTTGCTGCGCCGCCTTCCAGAGCTCAGGCAGGGAGAGTCTTTGCCCCAACTCCGCGACGTCCTGAACACCTTCGGGGACACTGCCGCCGCGGAAGTCTGTGTGTTTCTTAATGCTCTTCGGATGATGCAAAGTGTCGTCGAGAATGACGAGACGTAGCCCGAGTACGCCTTCCACATCCGTCAATTCAATCACGTACCGGACACTTCCCCCTCGGAAAGAAACCTAGCTTTTCATTAGCCTCAGCTTGAAAATACCCCGTGTAGACTGACACACGTTGAATGACGGACTAGAGAGTTGAAGCAATCCGATCACCAAAGCCGTCACCGCATTGTCCTTGTTCGCAAGTACTGGTATTCCGACGCACCCGAGCGCGCGAGACTTCATGTTGGAAGCCATGCCAATGCAAAGCTATGATAGCGATAGATGTTTCAAAATTTAAATGCGAAGAGTGGGGCTGTTAAGATATACAATAAAGCGATAAGTGATGTTTGTGTGCAATTGATCTAATTGAGAAGTTGCGACCTTGGAGTTGGTATTTGCGACGTATATTGACGGACACCAGGCGAGAAAGCAAGGTAAAGATACGGATTTCGTCTGAAAGTTACAAGTTTCTTAGGGTAGAAAATGGAGAAGCAACTGTCTCGAGTTAGCTTTTGAAGGAAGTGTAGAGTGAATTATACATTTGTTCCCTTGTCTCCACTAGAATAGACCAACTTATAGGTTCTCGTCCCCGGGAAAGGATTCACTTGTTCAGCTAATTTATTAGCAGTGGATGAGAAGAAACACATTATATTGAAACCCGTGTTTGCTTTTCACTATAATGATTTCAGCCAGTCTTTGCTAGTATCGGACTCTGCATAACGCTGTGTATAGAAGAGGGGAAAACACCATTGACTACCTAGGTATACCTTAAGAGAAAGAATATAAATCACTCGATCTAGAAATTTCTTCTCGCCCCTAAACCAATATCCCCTTAACCTATTTCCCCCATTTCTCTCACTCTCACAAAATTCAGCTTACCTACCTACTCGCTTGAGGCAACACTGCAAGAGTCTCGTTCCATCTGGTACGTTCATCACTTCGGAAATTTGATCGCTTGCCAAGCTTGTTCTCGGACTCAAAACATGAAGGACTTACATTCACAGTCGACTTTAGATTACCAGCTTCATTAGATTAGAGTTATTGAAAACCAATGCTTGTGGGGTTTTAAGGGGCGTCACGTGAAGTGGAGGTATGCAGCTAAAATGTATTGCGTCGTATAAATACGACGCTTTGATAGTCTTAGATCACCATCAATTCTACATAAACACTCTTTTACATAGATTATTATATTTATATTTATACAATAATGGAACTTTAAGTCAGATCTTAGCCTAGAGTTCGCAGTTGTGTTGTCCCTCCACAATATGAAAATACTATCCGACATCTTCAGGAAAACTGAATCCCACCATCTATGAGAATTAACACCTTGTATCCAGAAGACAAAAGAGCAACTTACCTATAATCAACGTCTGGCCTGTCATAAAATCCGAATCCGGCGACGCCAAATAGCTGACACACTTGGACACATCTTCTGTGGTGCTGGGTCTCTTCAGAGCAGTCAATTCCTCCGTCATCTTCTTAAACGTATCTCCCTTTTGAGCACCCGTCTTCTTCCCAAGTTCCTGATCGATCAGGTCCCACATGTCCGTTCCTACTATGCCCGGCGCGTATGCATTAACCGTGATCCTATACTCTGCCATCTCCATTGCAAATGCTTGTGTGAAGCCCCGAACAGCCCATTTCGATGCCGAGTAGTGGGAAAGCAGTGCGAATGGTCTATATGCCACAATACTGCGGATCAAAGTGTCAGCGAAAAGGGCATCCTAATAACTTGCAAGGCTTGAGAAAGACGAACCTAGCACAGCCAATAATCTTTCCTGGAGTTCCTTGCTTGATCATTTGCTTAGCAGCTACACTGTAGGAGTTGAAGAGCCCAAAAACATTGACCTCAAATACCCGTCTGACATCGTCTTCTGTTAGATCAAGAAGCGGCTTGACTTGTGCGATGCCGGCGTTTGCAATCATGACGTCCAAGTTGCCGAGGTTCTTCACAGAGGCTTCGACCAGCTCTTCCACTTCGCAGCGCTTGGAAACATCTGCGGCATGGCCGTATGATTGTCGGCCGAGGGCTTGAATTTCTTTGACTGTCTAGATGGGATGTTAGCTAAGTTTATGATGGATAAGTTGAATACTATTCCCGAAGACATAGACTTCCCTCGTCAATCCCAGCCTTGTTCGCTGCTATGTCGTTGATACAGACATCATATCCATCTTCTGCCATGCGAAGAGCAACTGCCTTCCCGCTGTCTGTCGTTAATGGAAGCTCGTGTAACACTGCTGCGTGCATCCCTACATTCCCCGCGCAGACCCGGTGACAATGACTGTCCTCTTGCCATAGTCTTTGGTAACAGCCGTGCTTGATTTCCCGCCACTTGCCATTTTCGTTTCGTATGTGCCTAGAGACTCTGGTTTTCTTCTATAGAAGGATATACCGGGCGCAGAAATGCCGACGTTGAGCAGAGATGGAGGAGGTTCTTAACAAGGTAAGGGATTTACAGAAGAAAGAATGCCCCGGCCTCAAGCTGGCGCCTTCCTTGTACTTATCTGTGCTCTCGATGCAGCGACAAGGAGGGGTACTGTACTTGAACCCAGGATTTTCATGATGAAGTGGAGTGCAGCAGGGCTAGCGGCGCGTTTCGCAACAATTGGTGCCGATCAATTAGGTACCCCGCCAAAGTCTTGGACGCATTCTAATCTTAAGCTTGACCACTCTGCTTTATACCTAGGTATCTGTACTTAGGTACTTAGGTAGTATGTACAACATCTCTAATATATGCTGCGCTTGGTCTTGTCTTATGCAATTCCTCGCGCTTTTCCATTAGTCTTCTGTACGAAACTTTGTGTTTACTGTAACCTGTGCTTTTTAGTGGGCTTGCGGTAATGAAAATCTCGAAAGAACTCACCAATTGGCGAAGTCAAAGACAGAAAAGGGAGTCAACTGTTGTATCCTCAGCAATATACATTTACCTTATCTCGGAGAAATATCCATTTTCAAGCACGGTACAGATGCGCTGGAAATGCAGCTCAGAAAGCCTGGAGTCAAACAGTAACTCGCTAAAATCCAGGGGCTCGTCACCCGAGAGTGCTAAAATTGCGGGGTACGTATGCAGGATGCCCTGGATACACGTGACAGCTCTGCTCTTATTGAACCACTGATGATTACCTTGCCATAGCTTGTAATCTCACCATACTAGTCGACTTTGGACTTGAATCAAGCAACCGATCAGAATATTTTGACGGGACAAGTAGATACTTGCAGTCCTTTAAGTGGATCGGTGCCACGAACCTCATCGGAATAGAAAGATCGCAGTTCAAATTGGTATCATTTTATGCATGCAATCCTCTGATATATACACACAAGCACACAAACACTAATTTCTTGGACGCTGGCACAGTTGAGTTTTCCCATCCAATTATTTTCATTGAAGTATGAAGTACCCTCCCTGCCCCGGCTTCAATACATCACAACACTGCATCCCCGCACCTTCTTCTTAACCAACCCAACCACTGGAATCGATTTTCACATGGTGTCTCCAATCTACAGCATCATCATGCCAGCAGCAACGAGGACGAATGATGAGATCAACCCAACCCTGGCATTCAGCACGGTGCCTGCGCTCTTGGCCTTTGCAGTAGACGACGCGGACGTAGCTGCGGAAGAGGCGGAGGCTGCTGCATCTTTGGTACCTACGCATGATCCGTTAGATGAGCTCATATGAATTCGAAAGTCAAGTTGGATTATTAATCAAAGACTAATGATAATTAAATGAAACGTACCATTCTTAGAAGACGCTTTGGAGCTCTTGATAGAGTCACAAGCCGTTGTGAGCGTGGTGTTGCTGGTCATAGCATCCAGCTTCGTCTGTGCCTTTGTAGCCATAGTCTTGATGGCGTCGATTTTCGTCTGGTTGTTCTTGGCCTTATCCGCAAGAGCTGTGTCGTTGCCTGCTAGGGTAATGAGTTTCTGGAGGGATTTCATGCTCTCGCATTCATCATCCGTCTTGGCGGCTGCGTCGATGACCGCGCAGGTTGACACGAGGGTCGTGTTGGAGGACATGGTCGTGAGTTTAGTGGAAGCTTCAGATGCCTTGGATTGGATGTCGGCGATCTTGGTAGCGTTGTTGTTGGTCTTGTCGGCCAGCTTGGTTGTATTGGATGCAAGCTTGACAAGCTGGTTCAGGGAAGACATCTCCTTGCAGAGGCTCTTGTCGGTCACGGCTTTGGTGCTGGTGCTGGTGCTGTTCTTGTCGCCCTTGGCTACGACGGCGGTGGCTAGCACCAGGGAGAAGAAGAGGCTGGAGAACTGCATGTTGTCTGTTGAAGGATATTGGGAATATATGAAGTGTTTGTGAATGAAAGTTGGTGATAGAATTGAAACGGACCGGCCGAAAATATATGAAGTTGATTAAAAAATGAAGATGAGAAAGCACAGTGATATCCAGATGCTGCTTTGAGGAAGACACATCCAAGTCTTATATACGAAAGACCATCCTCGGGAATCCTATGCGGCTCCACATCGATATTCCAAGAATACATTAAGGGCGTGGCTTGTCAGTGCAAGGCCGCCAAGACCTGTCACAGTAATTGAATGGAACAAACTTGCTACAAGATGCGTTCAATCCATTGTAGAGTTAGGAAGGACAGGGTTGAGGAAAAAGACCCTAAACAAACATTGTGGATAATTTGTCCTAAAATATGCTCGATCGGCGTGGAGGCAAGCCCCGTACGAAGTAAGAGACGATTTGGATCTCATCGATCCTTACCTAAATGCTTCACTTCCCCGCGAAAACCGCATTTCGTGAACAATTGCTTGGCGGCAAGTAAAGGCGATAAGTTTCGCTGACGACAAGAATCCACTGTTTCGTGTTCACAGTGACTTGTTGGTGGGAAATAATTGGTTCAAGCGGCGCCTTCTCCAAACGTTTGGTGTTGGGAGATGGTGGCGTGGCGATCAATCAAAGCGAGCCCGAAGCGATGTTACAGAGATACGGTACATCCGCTCCGTACAGTACTAGATGGCGTATCCCAACTCAAGAATGACATTCGCGACCCTGCTAGGGCCAGAAGACAATTGTTTTTAGATCTGAAGCATCCGGCATCTGTTTACTTGCGTTGACACTGGTTTGGGATACCGCTTTGATCAGATGGTGGTTGGGGTTTTGCCGCTAGCATGCCTTGCAGTCTGTGCCACACATATTTGAGGGAGTTTGAGGTTTTCCATTGCAGCATTTCAAGGTCGAAAAGTTGTAAATTTTTGCTTCGAATCAAGTAATCAATGATGCTGTGTTCAAACCAAGGGATAACCTGGGCGTATTATAAGCTGACTTTGAATAGATGACGGACTTCGTGGTATTCGAAAAGAAACATGAATCCATGAAGACTCCTACCTATCTTCCGATGAAATTTGACCTGGTCGATTGTTGATAGTATGGACAATTAAATGTGTTAATGCCTCCTGGTGCTCCAACACAACTTTCCTAGAATATCGAAAGCACGCTGAGGATCAGAGAAGACTTTGCTTCTTCCCGTCGTATAAGGAAGAGGACTGAACCTCCAACTTTCTTGAAGATGCGATCAGTCATATCATACTGAGGCTCCTCACGATCCGAAGGTATGCCAGGGAGGACAAAGCACTTGCTGCGTAAATCGACACAAAACCCGAGGCTAGATTAAGCGTCAAGCTCGCCGGTTGCCTTTGTCTTGTGCTGTCTATCAAGATTCAAGAGTGGACATACATGTGCTGCATCGTGAAAGCTTGACCCATCTCGAGTCCTAATCCCGAGTCGTGATGAAGGCGAGGAGCATTCGCAGGATTCATATTGCGCATACGAGAGTTTACATGAGTTAAGGGGGTCGGAGTACACTGTAAAGGAGTTAAAGAGATGCAAATGGCAATTATCAGAGATCTAATCTAATCTAATCGGGTTCAATAGTACAGTACAGTACAGTACTGTACTGTAAGGGCTTAGCGGCCGCCAACTGATCTGCAGGCATCAGGCTGCGCATGACAAAGAATACAACAACATACCTACCTGACCACCTGCTTTCGGTGCTCAATAGATCTTTCTGTTGCACACAGCCGGTGCTCATGAATCGTTAGCCCATTCACCGCTTCCGCTTTCCGCTTTCCGCTGTATAACAATGATATTTTCTTGAAGAACACTATATCCGCGAGTCCATCGCTTTGACTACATCCCAACTGTTGAAACCCGCCCTCAAAGATCATGGCTGGCCACGAAGAAGAAGGGGCACAACTGCTACCTCTCGAGGGCCAGAAGAGAGATCGAAAATCCGAAGAATCAATCTTCTCAGCGTCAACCACGAGCCTGGTGTTTGAACGTATCGGCGAACGAGCAGACTCAGGAAATGGGTATTCGGTGAACGGCGACAGCAAGACGGTCACTCCCAAATTCTCTCCTCGAGGCGATTCTGTAGCATACGCAGACGACGAGAACATGCGCCACCCTTACGAAGAAGAGAAAGAGGAGGATGACCTCGAAAGCGGCCCTTTCATTAACACGGGCGTGAACAAGACAATAGACAAGAAGTTCCGCAAATTAATGTGGATCATTGGAGGGTGCTTCATTGGGGCATGGCTCCTTGCACTTGTGGTTTTTCTAGGGCAGCAAGCTTACCGACATCCATCCGAATCTCCTCACGATCCCGCTGCAACTTCAGTTCGAGGCCATGGGAAGAAGGTTACACTAGACCAGGTCCAGTCAGGGCAATGGCGGGCAACAAAGCACGATATCAGCTGGATACAAGGAGCAAATGGCGAAGACGGGTTACTCCTTGAACAGAATGTTGGTGGAAAAGACTATCTAATAGTGGAAGATATAAGAGGGACTACTGGTGACGACAACAAAGCATTGGCCACGAAGACCCTGATGACCCGCGGTTATTTCGAATACAAGGGCAAAGGATATAACCCCAGCAAAGTGTTTCCAAGCAAAGATTTGAAGAAAGTCCTCATTGCAACAGATGTTCAATCGAATTGGAGACACTCTTTCTACGCGAAATATTTCATATTTGATGTCGAGAAGCAGACTGCAGAAGCTCTGGACCCGGCGAATATAAATGGCCGGGTACAATTAGCCAGTTGGAGTCCACAGAGTGATGCTATCGTTTTTACAAGGGACAACAATTTGTTTTTGCGAAAGCTCAACTCAGATAGCGTCATCCAAATAACGAAAGACGGGGGCCCAAACTTCTTTTACGGAGCACCCGATTGGGTCTACGAGGAAGAAGTCTTTGGTACTAACAGTGCCACCTGGTGGGCCGAGGATGGAAAGTATGTTGCTTTCCTCCGAACCAATGAATCGGAGGTGCCAGAGTATCCCATTGAATACTTCGTCTCTCACCCAAGTGGCGTTCGTCCAGAACCAGGGGAAGAAAACTATCCTGAGGTCAGACAGATCAAATACCCTAAAGCCGGAGCCCCAAACCCCACAGTTGATTTGCAATTCTACGATGTCGGCAAGGGGGACGTCTTCGAAGTGAAGATTGCTGATAGCTTTGCGCCTGACGATCTGCTTATTACCGAGGTTGTATGGGCTGGATCGACTGGCAAAGCGCTCATCCGCGAAAGCAACCGTGAAAGTGATGTATTGAGGGTCGTTCTGGTCGACGTGGAATTGCGTACTGGAAAGACAGTGCGGACCCAGGATGTTCAGAAACTTGATGGTGGTTGGTTTGAGGTGTCTCAGAAAACCAGATATGTCCCTGCAGACCCTGCAAATGGTCGACCGCAAGATGGCTACATTGATACTGTCATTCACGATAACTATGATCATCTTGGATATTTCACGCCTTTGGATAATCCCACTCCGATCATGCTCACTTCAGGAAACTGGGAAGTTGTTGATGCGCCTTCTGCTGTGGATTTAAAGAAGAATTTGGTATATTTTGTTTCGACCAAGGCTTCTTCGATCCAACGGCAAGTCTATAGCGTTAAGCTCGATGGTACGAATCTTCAGGCCTTGACGGATGAGACTAAAGAGGGATACTATGGGGCTTCTTTCTCCAGTGGTGCAGGGTACGCACTTGTGAATTATGACGGTCCGAACATCCCGTGGCAAAAGGTCGTCAGCACGCCTAGCAATTCCGACCACTATGAAAAAGTCATTGAGGAAAATCCAGTGTTGGCAGATCTTGCCAAGACCCACGAGCTCCCAATCAAGATTTTCTCGACGGTCAATGTTGACGGGTTCGAATTAAATGTGGTAGAACGGCGGCCACCTCATTTCAGCGAGAAGAAGAAGTACCCAGTGTTGTTCTTTCTCTATGGTGGCCCTGGCTCTCAATCAGTCTCCAAAGGCTGGTCCGTGGACTTCCAAGCATATATCGCTTCAAGTCTTGGATATATTGTGGTCACTGTTGATGGTCGTGGCACTGGGTTCATCGGGCGAAAAGCTCGCACAATCATTCGGGGTAACATTGGGTACTACGAAGCCTATGATCAAATCGAGACTGCCAAAATTTGGGCTGCGAAGAAGTACGTTGATGCTTCGAGAATGGCAATTTGGGGGTGGTCGTATGGTGGATTTATGACACTGAAGACTCTTGAGCAAGATGCTGGGCAGACATTTTCGTACGGCATGGCTGTTGCGCCAGTCACCGATTGGCGATTCTACGACTCCATTTACACGGAACGGTACATGCATACACCACAACATAACCCAGACGGTTACGACAACTCGAGTATTAGCAACGCGACAGCAATAGGGCAAAATGTGCGATTCCTAGTAATGCACGGGGTCGCCGACGACAATGTGCACATGCAAAATACTTTGACCCTTCTCGACAAGCTAGACTTGGCTGGGGTGGAGAATTACGATGTCCATGTTTTCCCAGACAGTGATCATTCCATTTATTTTCACAATGCGAACAGAATTGTATATGACAGTAAGTTTTTCTTGTGAAGAACAAAGAAATTAGCTCATAAAATACCAGAACTGAGCAATTGGCTGATCAACGCTTTCAACGGCGAGTGGCTCCGCACGTCAAATGCAGTGCCCTTGCAGATTGATGCAGCGTCGGAATAAAGCAGGGTATTTTTGTTTATAGTAAGGCATTCAGGAGGCGTTCACGGTTTCGCGGCATATTTGAATTCCTTGAGAAGGTGGTAAGTATCCAATAAATATTGGATATTATGACTCTGCGTATATAGAAGATCCTCATACATAGATGATAATCCTCATAAATCAACCCTTTTTTTTTTTCAACCCCGCGCCAGCGTGGTTGTTTTCTGATATCAATGTAGAATGTTTTCGCAGTTTCCTCCCTTAGTTTTTGTCAATTTGTTTATCCGAAGTTTCGGATCGAGCGATGGACGTTCATGAGCCCCCCGAGCAAAGCTCTGTTGCTAAAGCTCAGAGGCATCGGCATCCTTTCCCATATGGCCGGGGGAAGCGACTGTTCATGCACTCCCCCCAGAGGAATTTCAAAATCCTCGAAGCGCGTCGGCGGACGTACTGATTTACGCGTCGCCAAAAATAACGACTCTGAGTAGGCCACATATTCTGGACGCGCCTCCCATGGAGTTAGACTTGCACTCTCTAGCGATGACGATGACGACTGGCCATGGAGATCCTCATCTATATCTCGAGCACCCGCGTCAGACGAAGTGTCTGCAATATCAGACGCAATGTCTGTGTCGGTATCGGTGTCGGTGTCTGAGTCGACCCAACTCCAGTCGTTGGGAATACTCAAAATGTACTCATCCCAGCTATCGCCGAATGATGAACCGGAGTAGTCCGGGAGGGGGAGTGTAGGCGGCTTATTGCCGCTTCGGCCCACCACGGGTGTGTCTGCTGGCAGTTCGAACACATCCTCGGACGATTCAGGGCCTCCTGGAACCAACCACGATGCAACCTCTGCGGCAGACTGTCGTTTCAAGCCTACCTGTTCGGGTTTATCGTCGAGACCGAAACCTAGCTCTGAGCCTTGCGGCGTTGGGAGAGGGACGGGTTTTCGCTTGATGGACATTAGCCCTATTCGCAATGTGGGGGGCAGGTCGCTTTGAGATAGGGATGATGTGGGTTTGAGAGGCTTTTGCCTACTTGGCAGCCTTTCTCGGTCATCTGTTGTGGACGACGGATTTACACTTACTGGGACGTTCTTTCTGCGGATGGTTTTGGTGGGGGTGTGAGAGGGCGAGTCGGAGGTTTCACGCTTCGAATCTTCTCGTGCCCGACCCTCCATCCGATCATCCACGGCCTCCAACCTCGCAACTGTAAGAACTCCTTCCTGGGATGGGTCAAACGAGAACAATGAATTTCTGTTCGAAGTTCCTAAGTCCAACTTATGTTGTCCCCGACCCGTCTTCCGAAGATTATCAGCTTCTCGCGACGCAGCAGTAAGCTGCTCTCTCTGGATTGGGACAAACGAGAATAGCGAATCTCTGTTCGAGTTTCCTGGGCCCCATAAGGAAATTCGGGTGTTGGAAAGTGCCAGTGCTAGGCGTCGATCGATTTTGGATTCAAATACTAAAAGATTATCCAACTTACCAACCAGCCGGTCCAAGAGGCTTCCCCGTTGTGCGCGCTGACATTTGATGCAGTCGTCTGACGGCTGTGCTTTTGTGATTTTCATTGCTTGGCATGTCGAAGTCACGAAAAAGCGAAAAGGATTATGTGACGGCAGTTTCGTCGGGCAAGGAACCGCTTCGATTTTCTGGTGGTTGCATTCGCCATACTGAGAAACGAGTTAGCACAGTAAAAAGGTGAAGGTTCGGGGAGAGTCGCCACTAAGAAACTGTCTCAAGAGCTAATGCAAGCTCCTAAGACAGTTCACAGCTTATCAACCCCGAGGAATAGCAACCTTTTTTATGGGAAAACATACCGTATTGATGATGAAGATGCACATGCTGATAAGTCGAGGCGTTAAGGTTGCGTTTAAGGTCCAAAACGAAGGATGGTGGAGTCACAGTGGATAAGGATGTTGATGGTGGTGGTGGTGGTGATGTGAAAATTCGCCATGCCTAAGTAAACTTTCTGAGCGTCCTGTCATGAAAGCTACGCTCGCTGTTATAATTCCTTTGTATTGCCCCATGCGACTTCTTTGTAGAGAATCTGCAAGGAATGACTTTTCCTCGAGTCAATAAAGGCCATTGTCACCTGAACAATAAAAACAATAGTTCAAGGATCCTTTGTGCACGAACAACACACAACAAAGCATCTGTTCTATATCAATGGTTGTTTCTCCCTCCACAATCCCATATTTCCATTTTCCCCCAATTCTCATCTATATCTGCCGTCTTTCTGCCACCGTTCTCCAATCCGAATGCGTTGACCGTACCTGATTTCTATCCACCATTTCGACCATTTCCACAGCAGCTATTTCTTCAAGTTAACCAACGCCTGTTAGAATACCATTCGCCAATATTCTATCCCTTCGGTTTCGAAATACAACCACTCTCTGACTGTTCCAGCTTTCAACAATCTTCGCAGGTTCGAAGTTCCTTTTCAGACACCACTCCTAACTTTTTGCGTACTCTGTATACGCTCGAAATCTCGGAAATGTCTCTAATTACCGCCAGTACCGCCCAGGAATGGCGCGATATAGGCTACGCAGGCATTCCTACCCCTTGTAAGTCTCTTCGAAAACCCCCAAGACACAAACATGCTAAGTTCCTAGGGGCGCCTTCTCCATGGTCCATCTTACAGATGCAAGCAGATGGATACATCAACTACCCTCGCAACCCAACCGTAGTCCTTGCCGAGTCTGTGGCCATGGCCGACCACTACTGGCGTCTCTGCCAAGAAGAAAACTACAAGTATGAACAAGAAGAAAAACGCAGTATTAAGCCTGCCTCCAAAACCATCAAGCCGCGGTCAACGTTCCGGTCAAATCACTACCTCTCCCATAGGAAAATTGCGCGCATGAGACCCTTCAATCCCAGACTAACTCTCAATGGCCAGCGCGAGAAGACTTGGGAACAACTCAATGATTTCCAGGAGCAGTTGTGCAGGGAGAGATTTGAGATGATGATGAAGAGTTTGGTAGTAAGGGTAGTTGGTTTTTTCATTTTTCTCTCTGCTTTTACGTACTATTTCTTGTAATTCAACTATTTCTACTGAAGTTTCAAGTTCTTTGTTCGGCGATAATGAAATATGACGCCTTAATATTCGCTACTGACTATATCGCCAGATCCGACTGGACTGGCAATTTTATGATACTTGTAAAAGGGATAGGTGTAGGTAAGAGCTATGGTAGGACAGAGAGGTGGTACCAAAACAGGCTTAGACTCATGATTATATGGGAGCCCCTACTAGCGCTATGGAATACTTATGGGCTGTACCTCCGTGATAATTGGTCTTAATGTCTTTCTATGTAGGGCCCTCCCTTCCCGATAGGGCCTCGGCTGCGAAGGATCCCTTGAACTGCGGATCGTTATGTGGGGGCGGGGTAAGAAGCTTGCTCACCATCAAAAACGCGTCTTTGACGCCATCACCATCACTGCTGGCCCGCCATTCCTATTTGTGCCCAGGCTGATAATTGAATAGTGGATGATATCGCGGCCCCAGGCTTTCCTTCAAAACTCTCCAGGCGCAGTAGCGTACCTGAACGCTAACGCCAGCACAGTCAGCCTCCCTTCAGAATCATAGCAATCTAGCATCGAGTTACAAATGGTCTTCGCGAACCGAGGACGTTTGCGAGTTAACGACTATCAAACATCTCCTATGAGCTTACTGACCAAGCCTCAGCTTGCGTTCAAACGAGTCCAAAGATGAAGGAATATGCTACTAACTCCGAATTCCTATGTAGCATGAACTATCTGATGAGCATATCCATTAAATGAGAAATATACAGCGACATGAACGCTAGCAGGATCCTAGCGCAGTTACATTACAACGCTTGGCACCCTGCATCCAAAATTTGGAAACTACACACTCGCCAACTACATCGTCTCATTTTTCCACAACGATGACATACAAAGGAAGACTACTGCCTCTGGCCCTAAGCATTTTAATCTGCTTGCTACTTTTGTTTGAAATTCGGACGAGATACGAGCTTGAACAGAATACTAGAACTCCTGCTGAGACGATATCCAATCCTCACCTACCTGTGATGGAGAGCGACCAGACACATCGTCTGAGCGTACTAGAACTATTGACGCTGGATGCCTCTGAGCTCCAGGTTTTACTCTCACGGGGAAATATTACGAGTGTCAGTTTGGTGGAGCAAGTTCTGGATCAAATCGCGAAGGAGGACAGAGATGGAGCCAACCTACGTGCGATGCTTTTCCTCCGGCCACGAGAATTGATTCTCAAAGATGCTGCCCAGCTGGACGACGATCGACGGGGCGGGAAGTTGCTAGGACCATTTCATGGCATTCCTATCATTGTCAAGGCAGGTTAGACCCTGCTGTTGTATTATTCGTCCATGTTGCTCACGTGCGTCAAGGACGCCCTTGTAAATTCCCCATCTTTAGGGACACCATCAACATTTGGGTGCTATGCATTACTTACTTCAAAGCCAAAAAAGAACTCTGTAGTAGTTGACAAGGTACATTGGGCTGTTTTGAGACGTCTACTCCATGCTGACAGCGTTGGAGTTAATAGCAGACGGTTTGATCATCATTGGCAAATCAAATTTAAATGTACGTTCTTGATTTCATTCCGCAGAGTCTTTATTAATTCTAATTAGGAGTTCTCAATGTGGAAGTAAGTATTCTAACCATGATGCTGCGGTATGTCCTAATCTGTCAGGGGGTTCAATGGAATCAATGGATTTTCTGCCATCGGAGGCCAGACGAACTCTGCATATATAGTTGGAGGTTTGCGCGAACATGAAGCACCAATGGACATACGGTGGGTTCTATAAGTCCCTTGAACATGCTGGTCTAATTGTAATGTGATAGAGCCCATGTGGTTCTTCGACAGGGTCTGCGGTTGGGGTATCTGCAGGCTACAGCCCTCTGGCATGGCACCGAGACTGAAGGATCTTTAATTCAGCCAGCAGGTAGAGCGGCACTCTTCGCCTTGAAGCTAACAGCTGGCAGTGTTCCAAGAGAAGGCGCATGGACTCTTGCAAAAGCAAT